AAAGACTTAGACGGAGGTGCCTATGTGAGTTAAGAGAACACCCCCCATAAGGCCTCCTTGGCTCTTCCAGCCCCTAAATCATTCACGCGTCATGTATCTTTCTACCAGTCCTTCTCTCATCTCCCCAGACCGCTAACAGAGTCTGGTCCGGCTGCATCTTTTCAGGACTATTATAGATCCCCAGGTAACCTGCAGCCTCTGCTCTACAGACTCATCCTCCTTCAGCAGCAAACCAAATTTATGTCAAATGCATAAACACATATTCTTGCTCAGGGTCAAGTACAGAGCTCAGCCAGCCATGTCCCTCTTAAAGATTTCCAGACATGCCCAGAAATGAAGGGTTGACTCCACAGCATGGCCAGCAAGATCCTTTATAAATTGGCATCAACGTACCCTCAGGATTAATTTCTCTTCTCCGCACACTCCTAGAAGGTCTGTCCCCACCCTGTGTTATAGAGCACTGGTGCTCATTCTTCAGGTCTTAGCCTCAGGCAACGTTTCACCCTTGGGTGTTCCCCACCCCAGACTCCTGTAGCTCGCTGCTAGCATCTTAACTTATTTTCTTATAATTATTTGTAATTATTTCTCTTTAAGGAGACAGTGAGCTCCTTAAAGGACCATAGCTTTTGCATCTTTGTATTGTATATCTCCCTAACGGAGGCCAAGTAGAATGTCCCATAAGAGGTAGTCGGTAAATATTTGTTGGAAGAAATTGATCAGTCAATGATTTCAATCATGATGCCAGTCAGATCATTGAAACTCCAAACCTCTGTTCCCACCCCCAGAGTACGGGCAGTTGGAAAGATGGGGAAGGCCACAGTTATTCACTTCCCTCGCCCACCCGTGGGGCTGAAGCTCTGAGGCAGGTGCCAGCAGGAGCAAAGACGTCTGAGCCAGACAAGGATGCCGACTTCAGCCTGACAGCTGCTGATCTTTGCTTTAGTTGATTTCCCCCTTTGCAAATGGTTATTGGCAATTGAAACTGCAAATCTACTATCTGCTCCCCTATGTAAATTGCATTTACATTTAAATTGTGCATTCTTCCAAAGGATGGGGTTAGTAAATAACGGCAGATTAAACTTGAGGAGAGGAAATTGTGCCCCACGTCAAACCTGAGACTGAAGTGACATCTGGCTTTGACTATTTCCGCTATTTCAGTTTAATAACAGCATGTGGCATTAAGGGAAAAGAAATTGGATCTACATTTTAATGAAAGAAGGAAGCTCTCAGGGTTTAGATACCTTATCATGTTGAATACCTAGTCGATTGGCAATTAAAACTTGCTTCCCTTGAGAAATAGAATAAAATATCTGTACCCATGGAGTGGGGAAAAAAAACAAAAACAAAAAACAAGGTAATGCCCAGGACTTCACAGAAAAAAAAAACAAGGGAAATGATTGCTGTAAACATCAACATCAAATATTTCAGGTCACAGTGGAGTACAGGAATTCTTACACAGAATAATGCGAGGACAGAACCATGGCTGCTGTCAGGATAGGAATTCCAGAGAATAACTTCAGACAGAATGGCTTGGGCCCTCCCTGGTGGCCCAATAGGTTCAAGAACAGTGCTACGAATATATCAGCAACAGTTTCTGCATGAGTTTGACCCCTGGCCAGGGAGCAGACCCACATGGCTCTCCTGACCCGCCCGCTGCTCTCCTCAGCAGTGTACTTCCGTCAGTCTGCCTGTTCTGCTCCCCACTCTGTCTCTGGTGAATCTTCTCACTGCACTTCTGGCCTATTCCCCAGTTCTGTATGCATAAATAAATAAATCTTAAGTAATAGGAGGTTCAGTCCACAAATGTTGGTTGAGCTCATCTGACTGAATCCTTTGTCTACTAGCGTGTTTTAAGCCCGAGAAGTCTGACCAAGAAAATATTTCAGAAATGGCTGTTTTATCCCAACAGTCTCACAGTTTAAATGGAAGCAGTTCCACCTGCTGGCTGTTTTTTTGTCGAAAGCAATTCTGGGAAATGTAAACATAATGCTTGTGCATTTTGATAAGCCAAGCCTATCATTTATTTGCTTTGATTGAAACAAATGTGTCAATTTCCCAAGTCTTTGTTTGGAGAATCTAGTGTTTGGAGATGGTGGAATGTTTGCATCGCGTTTGTTTGGAAACATGCTCAGTTCAGAAATTCTGGAACTATGATCCTTGGAACCACTGCCTGGATGCCTGAACCATCCACCCAAAGGTGCTGGGTCTTTTCTCTGAATTCAGAAAGTGTTGAAATTACAGGGTCCGATGGGCAAGTATAAAAGGGATGAAGCCTCCTCCTGAGGAAGAAGCTGGATGTGGAAACATTCCGAGGATGGAGATAATGAATAATTCAGGTCACGGAAGAACTGTCAGTTTTCTTGCTATGCCAAGTGCTTCAGCGGGTTCTAACTCACCGAGTCCTTATAACAACCCATGCAGGAACCACTGTCACCCCCATTGCAGATGAGGAAAGGGGACACAGTAAGGTGAGTAACCCAGCTGGGAAGAGATGGCAGCAGGGGTGACTCTCGGTTGCCCCCCCACTTTCAGGTGACTCTCTCATTCCTTGTCTTTAATGAAGGCAGCTTCTTATCCCAAAGTTCCATTTTGGTTTGCATCATTGTTTTGAAGTCTTTCTTGAAAGACTCAAGCTACTGGCCTCAGGGATTTTTTCCTTCAGTGAAATTAAGTGGCAAACAACCACTAACCTTCAACGATAAGATCTGTCTCCTCGGATCTGGCAGCTGTGGAAAGTGAGGACAGCAAAGAGCTTTGAAAAGGCCCAAACCATCGTTATTCTTCAATGTACTCTATTCTGATTTTTTAAAATAATATAAAAGTTTGTTTTTACATCATTTTATGCCTTTTCCCATCTCAGTTGTAATCCCTGTGGGCTTCCCATCCCAAATCACCCGTGTGCCATCACCATAGTCCAGTGCACTTCCTTCTGATTCTTATTCTTACATGAGCAATTCCTTACCAAGTCAGTCTAGGTTTCTTCCACTTTCTCAATTTCCCTGGAGTATAAGGTCAAATTATTCATTTACTACCAGGGACTTTCAATGACAGTCTGGACAAGTGAGCTTGATTGTTCCTTTATCTTTTCTTTGCTTGTCTCCATTTCTTCGCGACACCTCCTGATATTTTATCATGACAGTGTGCTCACAGCGTTGACCAGTATCTCCTGCTGTTTGAACTTAGGTTAAATTCATCATCTGCCCACATCAGTCTGTTGCTATGGGGGTTACTGATGTCACACATGTCAGTATTATGATTGCCCTAATAGCCCACAAGCTGAAAGGGGTTGGTTGCTGGTAGAAACCCTGAGACTCACCCCACTTTAGTAACTAAGCCAACTGCAAAGACATTAGACCACCATGTAAAGGGTAAGTGGATTAATCATCGGGTTGGATTCCATTTGAATATTTTTCTTCCATATGTGTATTCCTCTAGGCAATTGTCTAGTGTCACTTGAAATGGATGAGGGCTCTTTTGGAGGTTATTTTTGGGACAGTTGTGAAACAACAGACAGCTGTTCCCCGGAACAAATGTCACAGGATCTGCCTGTGACAGTAAAAAAAATAAAAAATAAAAACTTCTGAGGTGGATTGTACTTTTCCTTCCTAATGTCGAATTGTTTAGCAGAGGCCTGATTTTTTTTTTTTAAGATTTATTTACTTATGTATACAGAGTGTACATAAGTAACTGGGGTACAGTCCAGAGGTACAAGAGTGGTGAGAGGATTCACCAGAGACAGAGTGGGGAGCAGAACAGGAAGCTGGACAGAGTACCCTGCTGAGGGGAGCAGCGGGGAGGTCAGGAGAGGTCTGCCGCGCCATGTGAGTCAGCTCCATGGACCAGGATCCAACTCTTACTGCTGCGAGTTGGTTCTGTGATTTAACCAGGGAGGCCCCCGACGCCTGAAAGCTTTAATTCAGCTTCGCCAACAGGAAACTTACATTAAAAGCACCTACTATGTGCCAGCACATGACCCTGCTCAAAATAGAGCTTCAAGGTGGAGAACTGTTTGGCTAGGTGCTCTCAGATAACCCTGCGATACTTCACAATTCCCAGCTTTTTAGCTTGTATGCAATGTTCTTCCTAATTGGACAGTGATTGATCACCACTAAAGGCAAAGTCATTACTTAAAATTGGGCTAGATCCTCTTATGCTGAGTAATTGTCTTGCATTTGTTTTCACTGTGATATTAAAAAGCCCGGGAACATGATAGAAATGAGGTACAATAAACTCCTAAATTAAAAAGCTCTGCTGTAAGGTTTGACAAATGGGTCTGTCTTCTTCAGCTTTTCGTTAAGTAGGTATACAGGTCAGTTTGGGGGGGATAGAGGGATCAGATGAAGAACACTGGTTAAACTTGAGGCTGTGTGGGCTTGGAAAGCTACATTAAGACTTGTGTAAATCTATATAAATCAATTTGCGTGCCGCGGAATGAATAGCTGACTTTTTTCAAATGCCAATTCAGCGATTACAAAGTCGGCTGGTGGTTAATTAAAAACTACCATCTTGTAATGTTCAGAGTTAAATTACAAGTGTGAAAACTACGACTGTTTGCAATAACTGAATGCACCAAACTCTCTGTCCTCTCATCAAAAGGAGGTCAGGGATAAATAACTTTTATTTAACTCACTAAAAAATCTCTCTCAGCTCTTTCATATTTAATTAACTTCTTATCTTCTCAGCGTTGAGTCTTACTCAGAGCTCCGATGCAGTCATGGAAATATTGGTTCATTTTGTGCAGATTTTTCTCACATTAGTTTGAGTAGAAAAAGATAGAAATTACTGAACCCCAAGAATATTGGGAAAAGTGATCCCCACCCCAAGCTTTGCATTGAGGCGCTAACCCTGGGAGAGGAATACAGCAGACATCATGAGATGATGGGGTGGTACAGACACCTGTGGGCTGGTAAAGTTTTGGGTCTAATTTGTAAGACACCCTTAACCAATTTATTTTACTGTTTCAAAGAATCCACTGCCAGAAAAGAGACCAGACTATCACCATGGTGGATGTGAAGTGTCTCAGTGACTGCAAATTACAGTATGAACTCCATAAGCTTGGATTTTCACCTGGCCCAATACTACGTATGTACACAGCCGCTACTAGAGACTAGTAGTGTATTATAAACCACCCCCAATAATTTTAGATTTTGTAAGGAGCATATGTAATGAAAACCATTCAACTAGAAATAAGGCAGAAAACAAAAATCCAGAAAACCATAAAGAGGGAGGAGGTGATAATTATACCCAGATCCTACTTAGAGATGAGGGAGCCAGAGAGAAAGGATTTTTTTTCCCCAATAGTGAAAAGCCAGCTATCTTGATTCTATCACCCCAAATTTATATATATATATATATACATATATATATATATAATAGTTTATTTTTATATCATTTTGTGCCTTTTCCCATCTCAGTTGTAATCCCTGTGGACTGCCCATCATCAATTCACCCGTGCGCCATCACCATAGTCCCATGTACTTCCCCCCATTTTTGATCCCATTCTCCACTCCATCCCCCATAAAATGTCTCTGGTATGTAGTTGTTCACTATTATTCCACCCCCCACCCCAGTCCTTTATGCTCCTACTATGAGTGAAACCATCGGTATTTTTCTTTCTTTTTTTTTTCTGGCTTATCTCACTAAGCATGATCCCTTCCAGCTCCATCCATGTTGCTGCAAAAGGCATGTGTTTATCTTTTTGATTGCTGAGTAATATTCCATTGTGTATATGCACCACATCTTTTTAATCCAGTCATCTACTTTTGGGCATTTGGGCTATTTCCATGTCTTTCCTATTGTAAATAAAGCAGCAATAAACATGGGGGTGCAGGTATCTCTTTGAATCAGTGTTCTTGTGTCTTTTGGGTAGATACCTAGGAATGGGGTTGCTGGGTCCTATGGAAGCTCCATATTTAGCAGTTTGAGGAATCTCCAGTTTTTCATAGTGATTGTACTAGTTTGCATTCCCACCAGCAGTGCAGGAGAGTTCCTTTTAATCCACATCCTCACCAACATTTGTTGTTGCTAGTTGTTTTAAGTGTGCCATTCTCACTGGGGTGAGGTGGTATCTCATTGTTATCACTTCAAATTTTTATCTCCAGTACCCCTACTATGTATGAATGATCTATATTCACCTTGAGTGTTTGTGGAAGAAAAAGAGTTCAGAAACTGTGGGTTCACCCACATTTTAAAAACTATAATAAGGGCCTCCCTGGTGGCACAGAGCAAGCCAACACCAGCCACACCAGCCACTGTGGCCTGAGTTCGATCCCTGTTCAGGAAGCTGACCTAAATGGCTCAGCAGACCACTCCTGTCTCACCCACTGCTCCCCTCAGCAGCGTATTTCAGTCCCCGCCTGTTCTGCTCCCCTCTCTGTCTCTGTTTACTCCTCTCACCCCCTACACCTCTGGCCTACACCCCAGCTCTTATATGCATAAATAAATCTTTTTAGAAGACCATAATAAGCAATAATGTGAAGGATATGAATAAGGCAACTGAGTTGTAAACTATCTTGAACACCCACGAGCAATTTCACTTGTTCTCTCCATTCTTCCTTAGCGTCCACCAGAAGAGTATATGAAAAAAAGTTGGTGCAGTTGTTGGTCTCCACTCCCTGTACATCTCTTGTGCTGGGTGGACCCAGAGAGCGGGACAGAATTGAAGACCTTGACATCAGTGGAGGTACCTTGTGATGCCCGCTGCTGAGGGCGGCTCCGCATTCCTGATTCCCTGTCCGGAGAGTGTGCAGGTCCAATGGTGTGCAGGGTGACCTAGGAAATAGCTATTTGGCCTGTTTGCACTGAGGAGCCTGGAAATCAGGCCCATGGGCTGCAAGAGGAACCCCCACTTTCACACTAGTGACTCTGTGGGTGGGAAGCGGAAGGAGGTGGGGTTCACTTGTACCACCCCTTACTGACTGGAGTCACATCTGTGATTTCTAAGACCAGAAGTTGAGGTCCCTGCTTTACCTCAGTCAATTCATTTGACCCTTATTTTCTATGGATTAAATGACATCTTGCCCTCCCTGGTGGCACACAGGTTAAAGTGCAGCACTATGAAGCTGTCCCCAGCCACTGCAGCACGAGTTCAATCCCGGCCAGGGAGCTGACCCACATGGCATGGCAGACCGATTCTGCTTCCCCTCAGCAGTGTATTTCAATAACTCCACCTGTTCTGCTCCCCACTCTGTCTCTGGTGAATTCCCTTAACCCCCACTCTTCTGGCCTGCACCCCAGTTCACATATACATAAATAAATATTTTAAAAAGTGATATCTTGCCTTTTAGAAAAGTTGAACTCCATCATACTTCCCCTTCTCCCTCCTCAGCCCGCACCCTCTTCCTGTCCTCATGACTCAGTGGAAACTGGCCACAACTTGACCTCTCCTAGGTCTCAGGGTGGGTGGGGAACAGTGGGCTCTGGGACCCATGGGCTTAGTTTTCAGCAGCCCTGCCCCGAGAACCACATTCTGCAGAGGCCTTTGGTTGGGTTTGTGGGTGGCAGGGATGATGAGTCTCACGGCCAAGTTCTTCATCCATTCAGTATTTATTAAGAGACCCTAGGTGCCATAGTAAAATACTAAGAGCTACCAGTAAAATACTGGAGGCCTTCAGCACATTTCCGGCCTTAAGGTCCTTGTCTCATTTAACCATCACAATGCTCAGAACAGAACCAGGCACAAAGCAGGAGTTCTAGAACATGTTTATTGAAGGAAAGTACAACGAGACTTGACCCCAAACCTGGCCCCAATACCTTTGACCCCAAAACCTTTTCATACCTTGTACTTTTCTCACAATTTTTATTGTGAAAATAAATATATTACTTTTTTTTTTTTTACCATGACTGATTCTATAAAAATATTACAATTTCTTAGCGTTTTAATTAATGGTTCAACAAACAGGTGTCTCTGGAAATTTCCCTGTCATGCCTAGTATTGGAAGTGGCACAGTCCGACTGGCCCCTGAGCAGAAAGATAGTTAATATTGGGGGTACCTCAGAGCATGTGGCTCCCCCAGACTTTTTCTGGATGAGGGACATGTTCAGAGTCCTGCCTCAGGCCTGGGCTGCCTGTTTCCTGACATGGAAAGGAATTGAAGGGACTAGACCAGCCTCTGCTGAACTTTCCAGGCTGGACAATGCCGGAGAGGAAGGCTGCTCACCACTGGCCAGAACAGCAGGTCAAAGCAGTCAGGGCCTCTCTGGTGTTGCAGAGGTTTAAGTCTCAGTGCTATCAGGCCACTGAAGCTCGAGTTCCATCCTCCCTGCCAGGGAGGTGACCCACATAGCTCAGCAGACCTCTCCTCTCTCCCCCTGCTCCCCACCCCACCCCCAGCAGTATGTTTCAGTGGATCTGCCTGTTCTGCTCCCCACTCTGTCTCTGGTGAATCCTCTCACCCCCTGCACCTCTGTCTTACTCCCAGTTTTTGGAAGCATAAATAAATAAAATAAATCTTAAAAAAAAAAAAAAAAAGCTGTGCTGTCAAGCTGTCTCAGGCCAAACCATCAGGTTCTAGCACATGGCCCTTGCTTGGCTGGGAGAAAATTGGTGTAGATCAGAGGTGTGGGGGGTGAGAGGATCCATGACAGAGTAGGGGAGCAGAGTAGGTGGATGGACTGAAACACACTGCTGAGGGGAGCAGCAGGCGAGACAGGAGAGGTCTGCTGCGCCATGTGGTCAGCTCCCAGGTGGGAGTGGTGGGGGTAACTCAGGCTTTAGCAGTGATAGCACTGAGATTTAAGCCCTAATCACCAGGGAGGCCCAGTCCTTTAGCTCTTAAGTGTTGTCTTCACTTTGGACAGGGCATGCTCCTGATATTGGCCCACTGTGGGTAGCAAGGCCAGAGCAGAAGCTCAGTTCAGTCCTACCTTGGTTATGCTGTGGCCTTACCAAGCACAGACAAGTAGAAACCCCCCTTCCCCAGGTCTAGTCAGGTCAGGATCAGACATTTAAATTTGTTTGTGGGAGAAGCAGGTGCCATTAAAATGGGGGAGGTGAAAAGGAAAGTTGGGGTCCTATGGAGACGGAACCCTGGGTGTTCCTCCAAAGGAGGTGGAGCTGGGGAGGGGAGCTGTTCCAGGGCTGAGCCTCACCCCAACAGCGGGTGGATCCAGTGCTCACATTTGCACAGTTGGGCACTGGGTGAAGGTAGCTTTCATGATCTAAGGTCTTTTCAAACTTCCCAAATGCTGCCGACCCCCTGCTGAGAGTGCTGGGAGGGTGAGTCGCACACCTTTGTTGGAAGTTGATCAAAAGTCTTCCCGCAGGTCTAAGCCAAGGGGCCTCCCACAGCCACCTCTCCCGCCCTGCTCTTCCCTTGAGTCTAAAGCCCTTGAGCACAGGTCTGGCCCTCCCTCCTGGGAGCCTTTTTGGGTACCGAAGGAGAAAGTCCTTCTGCCCTTCTTTGACATTCAGGAAGACGGAGGGGGCTGGACTGAAATCAGCCCCCACTGCAGCCCCCAGGCCCAAGGCCCGGGGATGCCCAGCTGGGGTTCCAACGGCTGCTCCCACCCAGAGATGAGTCTTTCCCTCCCAAGCAACCAGTGAATTTTCTTCTCACAGAAATCTGTGACAGAAAATTCACCCCGTGCCATTGTGCATTCTCACTTGCCTTTTGTTTTCCTATTTTCCTTTTGTTTCCCATGATCCAGAGCTTAATGCCACTATCAGTTTGAAAGGAAAAATCATATTCTCAGCAGAAAAAAGCAAGGGACTCAAAAAAGTATGTACAACTCTAATGCATGAATACTTTTACACAAGTATTAAACATAGGAAATAGTGCTTTTTCGTATGTATTAACAAAGGAAATAGTCGCCACATTTGGTTAGAGTGGGCAAGTCCTAAGAAGTGATTTAATCCAGGTTTGTTTGGGGGAGACATTTTTTCCCCATTTATATTTATATACTTCACACCATTGTTCATTTTCTCCTCTCAGGTGTAGTTCCCATACAATTTCCACCACCCACTCACCCATGGACCATTCCCATAGTTCCTGGTGCTCTTCCCCTTTTTACTTTTAAGACTTGTTTTATTTTATTTATGCATACAAGAGCTGGGGTATAGGCCAGAGGTGCAAGGGTGGTGAGAGGACTCACCAGAGACAGTGGGGAGCAGAACAGAGGGGTGGACTGAATTACACTGCTGAAGGGTACAGTGGGCGATAGGAGAGGTCTGCTGCACCCTGTGGGTCCCCTCCCTTTATTTGTTTCCCCTATATTCCTTCTACAGGTGAAACCATCCAATGATTTTTCTTTTCCTTCTGGTTTATTTCACCGAACATGATCCCTTCCTGCTCCATCCATGTTGCCGCAAATGGTGTGAGTTTATCTTTTTTGATTGCTAAGTAATATTCCATTGCATATGTACCACATCTCCTCAATCCAGTCATCTATTTCGGGGCATTTGGGTTGTCTCCATAGCTTACCTATTATTGATAGTGCTGCAATATGGGGAAACGATTTTCAAGTTCTAGCATAGACCCAGAGGGCCCTCCTGCCCCTGCTGGAAACAGCCACCACCCTGTGTCCCTCTCGGCTGGGTCCCCTCTCCTCTCCGCCACAGGCTGCATTCCCATGGGGCTGAGTCAACGAAGCAGAGAATGAATGAGTTCTCTTCCCGCCCCTTTTTGGCTCGCTCAGTGCTGCCTTCCACACTCACCACCCTCCCCAGCACAGGGCTGCGTGTGTGCCTCAGAGCTTCAGGTGTGAGGCCAGGCCTCACCGCTTGAGTCCACGTGCTTCCATTTGCTGGATGTCAAGTAACCATCCTGGCCCTCCCGGTGTTCTTTAGCAGCTGTACCTTCTCCCAGGGCAGTGTGAGGAGAAAGGCAGGCAGCTCTCAGGCCAGATCAGACCCACGCTGAGGCCCCAGGCAGAACTCAAGGCCACCTCCAGTGACGTCTTCACAGCCCTGACCTCTGTCCCATCTTGTTTAGTCACTGCCTCCTCAGGTTTCTCATTTTGTTTGGTTCTGACCCTGTGGCTGTTTCTGTTTTGTCTCTTGCCCCGACATGCCTGGTGCTGAGATCTTGCCCTCAGCGCCCCTTTCCTCCTGCCTACGTCACTTCCCTTGGGCGCCCCCTCAGTCACCTCCTCCATGCGTGGAAACTGTCACACAGGACCTCTTTGCGCTCACGTGGGCCTAGACCCGTGCTCGGTGTCCTCACCGGATATCCAACCGCCTCTGGAAAGTTCCTTCCTTTTCCTACTTGATGGTTCTCTTCTTTCTTCCACTTTCCCCTCTTCCCTTCCTTCCTGCGTTCACCTCACAAACAGCTGTCTGTGAGCCAGCGAGGGTCATGTGCTGTCCTGTGTTTCCTCTCCAGCACCCACCCTCACGGCAGACAGGACTAAGTTCATTTTCATTCAGCTCACCTTGCTTCTGTGGCCTGTTGTTTCAATGGTTTTATCACTTTCCTACCGCCCAGACTCAGCGCCTCAGAGTTGTCTTAGAACAGCTGCTTGCCAAGCTCCTCACTCATTCAAGCAGTTGCCAAGTCTTATGGATTTGAATTATGAGCTTTAAAATTCATAAAAACAGCAACGACCTTCCCCCCGCCAAAAGAAAATTCTACCCCTTCTTCCTGGTCCCACTGTTTCTATGCTAACTTGTACCGGACATATAAATATATTCAATGGGCCCTCCCTGGTAGTGCAAGGAATTAAAGTGCAGCACTATGAAGTGAGACACAGCTGCT